GATAGGCAAATCTTTTAAGAAAAATGCACAATGCCTCAACCATGTCGACATTTACACCATTGTAGCAAACGATCCGATCCGGTAAAGTAAACACTTCTGCCAAGTTGTAAATGTCATTCTTGTAAAATCTAAACTCAGTTTTACATTCATCATCGGTCATCTTGTCGAGATCGAAACACTCGTAGTTAGTGTACGGTAAATTCGGATTTTTAGGCTTGTGTAAATCGTAGAGAAGCACGAATTCTTCAGCGTTAATCAAACGGGAAGCATGTGCCAGGAGAATAGTGTCACGGAACTTTGGCATGGCTTTCTAAAAAACTTTCGTTGACTAAAACACGATAAACATCAATGACCGTCGTCAACGTTCTCGCTCGTAAAATTCGTAATCTCAATTTTGGCGGGAACGCCAACACGACGTGGCCCCGCTCGACCCAGACTTCTCACGTTGCCGTCACCGTCGCCGTTGTCGGATCGTAAGGTCCCTATTATCGTAAAAAAGGTGTGAAACATCAAATGATGGACATGCTAACAATGATTGTGAAACGGGTGAAAACTTTAATTATTTTGACTTTAGTGGAATCCCGATTGCTCGGGCCCTCGATTTGTTCACAAACTGTATCATCGGTTAAGAATATATGAAAGTCATATATTTGAATTGCGGATAAAGACGTGAATGAAAGTGATCCTCGCAGAAATGTGCACTACTTCAGGCCTGATTTGAACCATGACCTCTGCGATACCGGTGCAGCGCTCTACCAACTGAGCTAACAAGCCAACTGGGAGCTGGTCATGATGTTGGTACTAAATAAACCCGTGAAGTGATGAAATAAACGGTTAAGAACATATGAAAGTCATATATTTGAACTGCGGATAAAGACGTCAATGAAAGTGATCCTCGCAGTAATGTGCGCTACTTAGGCGGTAGTGAAAATAATATTTGACTCAACCTGACGCGTAAACAAGGTGGGACTGATAAATAGTATCTGTGCTGAAATAATTTCGCAACGATCAGAATGAAGATTACTTTTTTCAGCATTTTATTTGCCTTTGGTCGGTCAATTCACTTTTGCATTCAATTTTTAGGTTATTATCGTTGTTTTCTGTTTCGGGTTTAAAACATTTGCAAATGGGCATATAATTCAGTTAAACAGAGGCCATCAATGCGCAGGCTGGTAAACCGGACTTTACAGACAAATTTATCTGTTTGATATTTGTTTCATTAATGTTGTTGGCCTATATTCAGTCTGTCCAATGATTTCGTTATTTGCGATGGCTTCGTTTCTAATTTTTCTATCGAGTCCTAACTCTTCTTTAGCAGTGTGTAAAATACTCGTCGCCCTGTAGCGTTGAGGGTACTGATGTTTCTTATCTCGCTCGCTTGCTTAGCTCCTCCAACTTTGCGTATTTCATTCGCAAAGTTGGAAGGGTTACTTTCGCTGATTTACTAGCACTTTAAAGTTTCACTTTCTTGTTAAAATATTCCTTCAGAGCTTTTGTTAAAGCAATCGCGAGATCGCAAATTGGAGTAATTTTTGGTCAGTTATTTCTAGGAAACGAGTCTCAAAATCGCATCTCTGACACATATGTCCGCGCGTTTATACTTGATTAAGCCATTCATCTCAATTCAGTATGCGCTTTATCATCTAAAAAAGAGTATTTTGATGGCACTGTCTTAGATCTCTATATTTTGGGTGAAATTTACTGAAGTAATGGTACCTTTGAAAAGAGTGGATTATCTTCAGTTTTCTAAGAATCCTTAAGCAAATATGTAAAATGTGTGTCATTCTTGAGTGTCGAGGTTGCATGTTTGCCTAACTCGCTCACTTGCGTATTTCGTGCACAAAGTTGTCTGAGTTACTTTTGCTGATCCACCGTCTTTTTAAAAATTCACTTTCTTGTAAACGTGTTTTTTTGTACCTTGCTTTAGCGCTCGAGGGATCGCTAATCAAAGTAATATTCCCCCCTTCTTTTCAGACAGTGATTTCTGGGAAACGAACCTTTAACTCTTTGCCATCTTCTTTCAAAAGTGCGCGACGTACCCTTAACATAAATGAGCATATGAGAGTTCAAGACAACGTTTATTCGGAAGTCGGATACATTTCGGGATCTTGACAACCGCCGGACCGCTTAATATGGTGTCGCGTGGGACAAGTTCGATTATTGTGTTACTAGCGTCACACCATGAGATGGTCAAAGGCTGTTTGGCACTACGTACCCTTCAAATGATCAGTTGATCATTAACTTTAAAAGCGTCAGCCGCAGCATTAAAAAGAAACGATACAGAGAGGCACGATTCGTGAAATTATAAACCAGCGTAAGGCGTGATTTGCCTCATCAATAACCCTGTAATAAACGTGAATCGTGAATTTTGTCTTCCATTTTCTAGAACTGAAGATTTCAATGAAACTTTGGGCGCAAGTACAGAGATTTGAATATTTCTTCACTACACACATGAAGCTCTGGCCTGCGTGATACATTTATTTTTTGTGTCCACTACTTTAGAAAGTAGAGGACACTATAGTCATCAAAAAAGCCGAGCGCGTAGGTAAGCAAGAGAATCGATCTGATCGGTTAGCAATTGAAAATTTTTGTTTGCACTCGGCGATATTTCGACCAATATTCGTTCCCGTTGGGTTGGCACATAATTCGCTGAGGAATGCCAGGAATGGCGTCCTTGCAGCCGACTTTAATCAAAAAATACAGCCACTATGAAAATTTATTTTAAACGGGTACTGTGGAAAAAAAGTTTTTTTTCTATGGATCTGAGGCCTTTCAAAGTGGTCGAAGTAGCCCAATCTACAAGAATAAAGGAATTACCTTTGATTTGCTTATTAGGATTAGCTGATATAAGCAGGGTTTCTGTTTGTGCCCTAACTCATTCACCTCTTTACTGTTTCTTGTTTCACTCCTCCCTCTCCCCCAACCCTCTTCCGCCATCCAAATCTTCAAACATCTGGACCACTTTTCATTTATTTAGACCCATACAAAAGTTTATATTCAATTGATGATTGTAATTCCACTGGGAATTATTTGTGAGGTTTTGAAATCTTCAATACCATATTCAAAATACCACTCAATGGAGTTTACATAGTGGTTATACTTTCTCTGACCAACTCAAATATTACACTTAACTTGCGGCTAGCGAACGCACCGGAGAATTCGAGAAAGTTATGTAAACCCGAACGCAATCGAGGATTTACGTAACTTTCTAAAATTTCTTCCAGCTTCCCAACTTCAACGAGCTTAGTTTATGTGAACATGGAAAAGGCCTCTGATGTTCAAATATCATACATTTCGTCCTATTTCTAATAAACAATATTTAACAAATAGATTCCAGATTGCCGTGCGTCTGTTCACTAATAGATCACAGGACGTCAAAATGTAGGAAGAACAAAAAAGTGGCACATGAGGGGCAGCCGAGTGGAATCGGTCGACTTTTCTAAGCAAATTTCTTTCTAAAGAAAAATTTACTGCCTGACGACTGAATTCCACGTTAACTTTCACGCGAAAAACAGATGTCGAGAGAAATTTAACTTGGAATTCACACGTCAGGCAGTGAATTTTTCTTGAATCGCATAGCTAAGCCACCGAATAATTGGGCGAAACCAAACCTTTTGCATTTTGTGAGCTGCACCAGCCTGCAAACCATGGAAACTCTTTCAAAGTCAGCTGTCAAGAACCAATGAATGAGACGCAAGATTTTTAAACCACTTTTATTTCAACATCTCGAACCTCGTGGAGAAAGCAGTGCCTCACATTTTGCAATCTGCAGCAAAAAAACTGAAAGTATATAGTACAGA